CAGTGGTTTCTTCACTGCTATGTTTTCAGCACCTGGAGTGAGAGTTGATTCATAGTCAATTGGTTGAATAAGTAAATGAATGATTGTATATCTTAGTTCCTCAACTAGATTGTAAGAAAATTAAAAGCAAGGGTCATGTTTTCTGTTTGGAAGCCTTTAACAATTTTTCTGAAATGTAAAAGGCATATGGGGTGTGTGTGTGTGTTTGTCTGTGTCTGTGTCTGTGTAAGTAAGTTACCTTCCATAATAAGAATGACATCACTTGTGTCCTCTCAACACGAGTGTTACCTAACTTGGGTTATCAGCAAATGAATTTCTTACAACTCCTACACTGCAATCTCAGTAGCATGCCTTATCCTCCCAAATTAGTGGATAATACAAATTTTCTAAGAAGATATATTTTCTGAGAAGATATATCGAGGTATCCCCAGGCACTTACTGGTATTCCTAAATCATCTGTGGTCCATCTCAACCCTTGCTATAGCCATACCATGCTAGACCACCTGTGTTACTTGAGAAACTGGTTGTTCTTACTGTATCTTGAGTGGTGTTTTACCCTGTAACATATTTTATCTTTACATGAACACTAGTCCTGTCATGTCTTTGTGCCTTTATCAAGCCTTGTCTGCTATCTGAAATTCCATTCTCTACTCACTGTACAAACTTTTCAACTATTCTTAAAGCCTCCTTCCTCTGAGCTGAAAACACAACCACTGGTGTTCTCTAAAGGTAATTATTGATATTCTGCCTCCTGTTTTCCTACCATACCTCACCATTCCACACCTCTATTACACTTCATTTTCCTTGTTATATATAAAAGCTCCAGTACACATTCTTCTTCCTCCCATGCTGAACTCCCGCTGGCTGAAAGCCTATCTCATTCATTTCTGTGTTGTCTTTGTTTATCTCAGTGCCAGCTTCTGAGGAGATACTCCAGAGATGTTCTCTAAGTGTATAGTTACCTGTGGGCCACTTTTTTCTATTGATTACTGTATCAGATTTTTTTTTTTTTTAAAGATTTTGAGTTTGGGTTTTTTTTTTTTTTAAAGATTTATTTATTTAGACATACAAGAACTGGAGTACAGGCCAGAGGTGTGGGGGGTGAGAGGATTCACTAGAGACAGAGTGGGGAACAGAACAGGCAGACTGACTGAAGTACACTGCTGAGGGGAGCAGCAGGAGAGACAGGAGAGGTCTGCTGTGCCATGTGGGTTGCTCCCGGGCCGACCGGGGATTGAACTCAAGCTGCCGAGGCTTCGGCTTTGGATAGCTTCATAGTGCTGTGCTTAACGCCTTGCGCCACCAGGGAGGCCCTGTATCAGATTTAGGCATATTAGAGTAGGAGAGAATGAAGACTCTGACACTTGGGTGCTATGCATTGCATAGAGAAGTCAGAAAGGATAATTTTTTTTCTCTCAAAATTGAATGGGGTGGGGCCTCCCTGGTGGCACAGGGGTTAAAGTCTCAGCACAATCACCAGCCACTGAAACATGAGTTCAATCCCTGGCCAGGGAGCTACCCACATGGTGCAACAGACCATGTCTTGCCCGCTGCTCCCCTCAGCAGTATATTTCAATAGATCTGCCTGTTCTCCTCCCCACTCTGCCTCTGATGAATCTTCTCATCCCCCACATACACACCCCTGGCCTACACCCCAGTTCTTGTATGCATAAATAAATAAAAATAAATCTTTAAAAAACGATAGAATGGGGTACCCCCCCGCCCCGGTGAGCTCTGCTTCTGCTAGGTCTTGAGAATAAACCTATAATCTCCATCTTTGTGAGGCTTTGTAATTAGTTAAATTAGTTTGGTAATTAGTTAAATTAGAAAGCTACATTTCTTGCTTATGTCCTTTTGCTTTATTGACATAAAAAAAACTATCAATATGCTGCTGCTGGATTTAGTCTCTTCCAGTTTCAATAAAAAAAGCACATTTTCTCTCGATAGTCATGCTTCCTCTACAATCTTTATATGGCTCCCTTTATTTTGGCAAGATAATGGATTTTTTAAAAATAACATCTAATGTTCCTGATGGATAACCCCTTTAGCACTCATATATAAACCATTGTGAGGATCAAGGGTTTTTTGTTCACATTATTAAAGGAGACTTCTTTTTGTTCCTTTTGTCCATCCAAACAGGCAGATTTACTCTGTGATGTGCTTTTATGTCCAGTTTACCCTTGCACTGAGGATATAACCTTCTGGAGTCCCACCTCCATGGAGGGATTCCGCTTGGATTCCTATCTTGTAGAAACGAGGATTAGTCTTTGGTCTACTATTCCTGTGATAGTGCCAACACAGAAGCACAGGGTTACTAGGGGGCAGAAGTTGATTTCTGGTGAAAGCTAGTCAGTGAGCACTTTCTTGTCTCTTTAAACCCCTTTTGGGCCGCTAGTTTTTAGTTTCTTGGCAGTTCAAGGAAGCAATTATGAGGGTTAATATTTATCTCCAGAATTCTTGTTTGTTTCCATTGGGTATGCTATCTGGAGAAACTAGAATGCATAGTGATAGACATATTTTCTCAGTGCACAACTGAGATAATTTCTATAAATGGTTTGAATGGTGTGTAACTACCTTCTTGGAAAGGAGGCAGAAAATGTGTTTAAGAACAGAATATGCATTTATGTTTCAATGAACTGTTTAGTCTTAATAACAATTGTAACAGGAATGAGAAAAATGGTATGAGGATAGCTAAGTTTTAGAAATTTAAATGTGCTTTGATTCAAAATAATAAATAAATAAAGGTTAGGCAAAAAACATCCCTCTATTGGAGGTGATGAGAACCTTTTGTAGATTCTTCTTTGGGTTTCTTTTGACATTTCCATTCAAATGTGAGTTGAATGTTGAATTTGTCATTTTATATGAATTGCTATAATTTTTTTCTTATCTCTCTTTTCTCTTCACCAGACTGTCTCTTCTTTATACCCACTCTCTTATTTTTCCAAATCTTCTACTTCCCTTTAGTTGATTTTGCTTAAATTAGTTTCTCAATCTGTTTCTTTCCCTCTGCTGACAGTTCTCCCAGTTTTCTCGCGCTCACTCACAGACACAGCAGACATCTTGCTTGAAACATCTCATTCTTTCTCTCATATTATCCCTGATATTTCTGTTCTACTCTTTTTCTTGGTGAAAAAACTATTCTTTCATAAAAATGCTTCTCCTCTTATTAATTTGAAGAAAGAAAACAGGCAGTATATAAAGTATCTTGGAAATCTGAAGGAAAAAAAAGATTACAGTTTTCTGAATAATACTTCTTTTAAAATGACAGGTACCTAAAGAAGTAAAGACTTTCTGTTTTCACCGAGATGGGTGAAGTATTCTCTGTGTTATTCCAAAGTGAAAGTGACAAAAACAAAGATCTAAAGCAACAACAGTGAGAAAAATGTTCATAGAACAAAATCAATTCTTATTGCAATAATTGTGTAAACTGAAATGGTTATGGGCTTCTTTGAAAGGAACTAAAAAAATGTGGCTCAGATGCTGAGAACCAGAGAAACTGGCTGGGCGAATGTCTTTGGTCTCTTTGAGAATAGATGTCTAGGTAAATATTCACATGTCATGGTACTTTGATTTAATCCTCACAACCAATTCTATAAAATAAATATGTAATTTTCCTCTCCATTTTTCATATGGGGAAACTGAAGCTTAGACTTGTTAGACAATATTTCCAGGATCATTAACACAGATATACCTGACTCAGGTCTGCTCTCTACCAAAATACAGCTTTGACTATATCACCTAAACCAAAGGAATTGGCATCATGTAGGATGCCAACCATACATGAACAGTGAACAGTCATCTTTCTTTTTTGCTGTTCTAAAAGAAAACTCCTTCGATGCCATGTTCAAATTTCAGTGGATTTTAGAGGTAAATTTTTTAAAGATTTATTTTTACTTATTTATGCATATAAGAAATGGGGTATAGGCCAGAGGTATGCAGGTGAGAGGATTCACCAGAGACAGAGAGGGGGAAGAACAGGCAGATCTACTGAAATACACTGCTGAGGGGAGCAGCAAGCAAGACAGGAGAGGCCTGCTGCACCATGTGGGTCACCTCCCTGGCTGGGGATCAAATTCATGCCGCAGTGGCTGGCAATAGCTTGAGAGTGCTGAGACTTTAACCCCTGCGCCACCAGGGAGGCCCAGATTTTAGAGATAATTTTGTCAAACCACATTTCATAGACAAGGAACATAATTCTCAGGAACTAGAAAAAACTAGTTTAAGAATATCATTGGATGGGCCTCCCCTGGTGGCACAGGTGGTTGAGCGCTAGGCTGTGAAGCTGTCCGCAGCCTCTGCAGTGCTGGTTTGATCCTGGCCGGCCAGCGAAGGTCCCACATGGCGCTGCAGACCTCTCCTGTCGTGCCTGCTGCTCCCCTCAGCAGTGTATTTCGTCAGTCTGCCTGTTCTGTTCCCCGCTCTGTCTCTGGTGAATTCTTTCACCCTCCCTGTACCCCGGTTCTTGTATAAATAAATAAATAAATCTTTAAAAAAAAGAGTATTTTTGGTCTTTGGGGATTAGAACACCAAATCTCACTCAAGCAAAACCTTGATGCTTTTTCACCCTAGTTTCTAACCCTTCTCACATATTACCTTCCCCACTGACTTCTCATAATACTAGGAAGTCTACACTGAAGATTCTTTTCAATAAAGGTACTGTGTATTCAGAAATCTTCAACAAACACATGAATAATTTGCCCTGAGGGAATAGCACAGAAGTGTTGTTTTCCTCTGAGTATATAGTTCCATCAGTAGGATGCTTTTCTGTTTTCCAGGAGGAAGAAGCAAAGGAATAATCTCTGAGCCCATTCTCTCTCCCTTATTCTCAGATTTTCTGCCTTGGGAATAAATACAGCTATAGTTGCTCTCTCAGTGAACAGGTTATTTGTGTTACAAAATTGTTCCTGAGTATTCCTTAGGGAATGGTTGTATCCGAAGTGCAAGCATTGTACTATTTGGTGTTATTTGTATAAAGGAAGGCTTTTTGTTGTTGTTTTCAGCAACTATACTGGTGAAGATACAGCCTGTTCAATCTCTCCTCACTACACCATGGGGAACTGAAGCATTCATGTTTGGAGAAAACCCTTTGAAATGAGTCCACGAAGAATACTTCCCTCCAAGGACATGGAACCCTGTAAATTGAAGGTGGGCACAGAAAGTTCTAAAGCAAGTGACATGTTCCAATGATTTTTTTCTGGCACTCTCACACTCTCCAAACTTTGTTTTATCCCCAAAGTTGTCTCTTTTCTTTTCTATCATGACTGAGGAGTGAAGCCATATACCTAATAAAAAGCAATACTGTCAGAAGGAGAACTGCTCACTGTGGATTTGAGGCTCTTTTGTTAGGCTTTTTGAATAGGCAGAGGCATTTCCTGATCCACAAACTGTCTCAATAAACAATTCTGACATACACAAAGGACACTTTCATCACAGTCAATACCACAGTGGGGTGATTCTACTTTTACAAAATCTGCATCAAGGAATTAGCAATTTACCATTCTGTGCTCATTCTTCTTAAAATCACTGAGGTAGAATAATTTACTTGGTGAAAAAAGGACCAGCTTAAATGTGTTCCTTAGGAACTGTGAGCAATAACAACACTACAGAAACAACACATATTGACTTCTCTTTTTTTTTTTTTTTGGCAGATTTCAGCAGGTTAAGATTCCTTTATAATCAAGATGTGATTGAATCGTTAACCTTACTCCACTCCACAAATGAATTTTAATTATTTTCTGCTCTTAGAAAATTTTTCAAGTCTAAATTACTGTAATTTAGCACTCATCTTTCATAACCATTATTCAGGGAGAACAGGGCCACGGACAAAGGACTTCAGGTTCCTTTGGAGAGTAGCATGGGACAAGGCAATGAAGCGCAGGCAATGAACTCCATATTTGTAGTTCTCTGAGGAACTGTGAAATTATCCTCAACTCTTCCTACTTTAAAGAGAAAAGGCCTCCTTTAAAATCTGCCCTGCTGTTGATTTTCAGATCTTTTATGTAAGTTAGTGCAGGATTTTTAAGCATGTTCTCTATTCTTCTGTATGTTAGAATATTGGGGTAGGAGAAGAGAGGGTTCCTGGAGCACAATTCCAGGGAAAATTGCATGTGTTTATATAAATATATATATCATTTTTCTTAATAGTTTAAAATCACTTCTTACTTTAGATTTTAGATTCTTTTGTTTTAGATGCAAATTTAGTTTGTCTTCATCTTATTGTAGACATGGTTAGGGGCCACCTGAATACAAAAGAATAGAAACAGACTCCTATGAACAAGAAAAGTAGTGTGTGTGTGTTTGTGTGTGTGTGTGTGTGTGTGTGTGTGAGAGAGAGAGAGAGAGAGAGAGAGAGAGAGAGAGAGAGATTCAGGTAAAGATAAATAATTTTCCTTTGGCAAGATCCTAGTTTCACTGCAGAATACAATTAATATGTTCTTTTTCTTCTTTGAATTCCTCTTTACTTTTCATATTTAAGAAAAATATTCAGTTTCTCCATTTACAATGAGTCATTGGCTATCAACTATTATTTTATTTTATTTTATTATTATTTTGCATGTTACTTAAATGGCACTAGACCCTTACACATATAATAAAATACTACTGCATAATCAAATTTCTGAAGACTTTTATATCCAACATAAGGGAAGCATTGAATAGTTTTAAAATTCTTGATCTAAAATTCATGTAATTATAGCTTTGGGCTCATAATCCCTGTTTTCAGAAACTTTTGCACTGCTCTGCTTCCTTTTCACAATCTTTTACTACTTACTTCTCCACCAAGCTGACCTTTTATTATAATGGGTTTTCCAGAGGGAACTTGCTGTAATAGAGGTAATATATTGTCAGACATGATTTCAGATGACAACTTCAGAGTATTGGTATACTTTATGTTGTTACTTAATTGAACAAGAATAGTCAGTTTAGTGAAGCATTTTCTTTATTATTTCATTTTAATCTGGGCAAAACCAGAATGACTCATCACCAAGATTTTAGCTAATAATAAACTAAGGAGACAGCAAGAGGTTTTGGGAGGTATGTATTCTTCTTTTGCTGAGATGATGAAATAACACAAATTTCAGGGTCTGTCCTCCAAAGTGAACCGTGGAGAAATTATAGAAGCAAAAAGGAACTACGAATTTAAAGAACTAACAGAAGAAACACCTTCCCTCCCAGATGGAAGACTGTCTGAGAACTGGATTGTACAGCACAGTTGGACAGTCGCAGTCTGGGACAGAGGTAAACCAGAGGCAGTAAATGGAAGAATGGATTAGAGTAGTAATTTTTAAATGTAATCTTCAGACCATGAGTTCAGTATCTCCTCAGAACTTACTGGCAATGCAAATCATTATGTTTCTCACCCCAGATCTATTGAATCAGAAATTTAGGGAAGGTCCAGCCATCTATGTTTAAACAAGCATTCCTAATTAATCTGGTACATGCTCAAGTTGAGAAGAAAAAGGGTTTTTAATCCCTACTTGCCTTTTTCTTGACTTGCCTCAGGGCACTCATAACCCACAGGCTTTACCCTAGATGGCTGCCTCTGCCCTGCAGCTCAGAGGATCCGCACTATTGCCTGGTGTTGACTGGCCAGCTGTTCTCCAGCATGTTTCTCCACAAAACCCCTCAGGTTTCAGCCCAGAGAACAGGATGAACCTGTCCCTGCTGATTCACCTAAGGCTGTAAAGAAACCTTGATTAGAGTGGCTACCCAAAAGAGCATCAGCGGAAAGACCACCAAGGTTCTGTGTTGCCTGAAATACTCTATCCACGGTCTCATCTTCTCTTCCCCAACACACTTAGGCAAATCTAAGTGAGTGATTAATTTTGTGCCATTAATCAGACAGAAAAACCAGTACCCCCTCAATGTGGTGGGTTCACCAGTACACCCTCAGTGTATGGGTATCACTCTGTGATACCTTATAGAAATTGTGCTTGATTGTGAGGCTTGCAAATTATACAAATTACTTCTTTTTTTAAAAAAGGCAAAACTACAAATACAAAATCAGGTATGAAAATGAATATTTGTTTGGGATCACCCAAGAAACCAGAATAAAATACGTTATTTTAAAAAGTTGACGTATCGGGCCTACCCTGGTGACGCAGCAGTTGAGCACCAGGTTGCGAAGCTGCCCGCAGCCTCTGCAGCGCTGGTTCGATCCCCGGCCACCGGGCGAGGGTCCCAAATGGCACGACAGACCTCTCCTGCCGCACCCGCTGCTCCCCTCAATAGTGTATTTCGTCAGTCTGCCTGTTCTGTTCCCCACTCTGGCTCTGGTGAATTCTCTCACCCTCCCATGCTTCTGACTGTACCCCATGCTTGTATAAATAAATAAATAAGTCTTAAAAAAAAAAAGTTGACATATAACAAGCATTGCAATATCTGGTGTTTTTTTGTTAAATAATCTGCTGACACCCTTGTAAAATTATTTTACTTTTTTGCTTTATTCTGTTTGGTTGCCTCCACACATGTCATGTACTATCAAAGATAATTGCAATTTAAAACAAGAAAGATATTTTAGTCTTTCTTGTAATATGATTTTCAAAATTTGTTTTTATTATTGACTCAGATGCATAAAACATAACTTCACAAACAAACATGGTTTTACTATTGCTATAGTCTTGTGCTTTATGATCACAGGAAATCTGATTAATCATATTTTGCATGGCTTATGTGGCATTGAAAGTATGCACAGTATATTGAATTTTCAAGTATATTCTTCAGAACAGAGGTTTTGGCTAGAGGTCAATGAGAAATAAATTCTCCTCTTACAGTCTTCCAGATATTATGATTAAAATCCTTTTTTTACTTATTGCTTTCTGGCTTTGGGCATTTCAAACTATTTTATTCGTCTGCTCGATGTTGAACACTGTAGAACATTTATATATTGCAATATGACCTCTTTCATGTCATGATGAGGATGAATTGGCACAGTGCCCTAAAGAAGTATTCCTGGAAACTATTCCTACGCATGTATAGCTAGTAATAACATAAATGTACTCAGAAGTTACCATGAATCATAGATATTGAAATAACACAGAACTAGAGTGGAGCCATCATCTTTAACTGATTCTATAGAATTAGTTTACTTTTGCATATGTACAAAAATGTATGACAATTTAATAGTGATGATCCATGATTCTCAAGCTTTATTAGTGTTTTAGGATTCTCAGGAGAAGCAGAACAATTGACTATCTCTATCTCCCTACCTACCTACCTGAGAGATTTTTCTCAAGGAGTTTGCTCACTTCATTGTGTAAGTTGGCAAGTCTGTAGTTTGCAGATTAGCCTGGAAACCCAGGAGAATTGATGTTATGGTTTGCGTCCAAAGGCAGTTTGCTGGCAGTATCCCCTTCTTCCTACTGAGAGGTAAATCTTTTTCTTGTAAGACTTTCAAGTGAATGGAGGTCTACCCACATTATAGAAAGTATTCTGTTTTACTCAGATTCTACTGACTTAAGTATTAATCTCATCTAGAAATTACCTTCACAGAAACATCTAAATAATGTTTGACCAAATACTGTAGCTTAACTACAAGTTGACTTCCTCAAAAGAAAATCAATAAACAGAATAGCATATGCAATCTGAAGAAAAAGTACAGGAACCAGGGACTCCAGTGACCTACAATGTCCATCCATGTCAGGTTTTCCTGGGGAATTATAGTTTTGCACCTTAGCAGTTAGGTAGGATCACGTGACTAGTGTGGGTCACTGCTTTCTGAGTCAAAGTAATGATTTGTTACCTCAGGGTGAAACTTTTAATCACTAGCATAAAATTCTCCAGAGTTCTTTTCCCTGCTGAGATGGTCAGATGGGTTGCCTCTCTAGCTGATTCAATTACCTGAAGGTGAAGCCTACATGGTTTTTCCTTGGAGCATTGCCTCGACTTGTAGTGGACTTTATTTTTTTAAAATATTTATTTATGCATACAAGAACTGGGGTACAGGCCCGAGGTGTGGGGGGTGAGAGGATTCACCAGAGACAGGGAACAGAACAGGCAGATCGACCGAAATACACTGCTGATGGGAACAGTGGGCGAGACAGGAGAGGTCTGCTGGGCCATGTGGGTTGCTCCCTGGCCAGTGGGGGATCGAACTCGTGCTGCAGAGGCTGCAGATAGCTTCATAGGCTGCGTCTTAACCCCTTGCG